GAGAAAAGAAAAATTGTAGAACTAAAATACTCTTGGGCAAAGTGAAATAAGAATACTGTGGGTTTGCGAGTTTTCCAGGAAGGGGCCCCGAGATGTGGCTGGCTCGCCAGCAGGGGGCACGTTTTCTTTAGGATTGGGTCCCAGAATCTCGAAACCTCCAGCCGGACTCTCTCCGAGTCCCGTCGCCGGAAATCGCTCTGCGGATAATAACGCACCGGTGTCTGGAAATGTTTAATTACCGCCAACGCTCCTTCCTCCAGCGCCGTCCGCTGCCGGTGCAGCCCGGCAGGACCCCGCGCCTCGGGTGCAAGTAGCTGGTTCTGTCAGCGGGGTTCCACCCTAACCATCCACTATTCCGTTCAAACTACTGTTCGCCAGCATCCCCGGCTGATGAGACACTGCCTTGTTTCTAATGCACTTATTTACGCCTCTGAAAAAGGAAAAGTTCAGTTGCCTTAGCACATAGATCTGGATGTGTCTAAAATAATCTGACAACCCAAATTTGAGTAAAAAGGAAAAAAACCCACGCCGTCTTTTACACACATTTCACATTTGCTCTTCCCTACAGAAGACATTATCGGTATTCCATTTTCCCGATGGTAGCATGCCCAGAACTCATGTAATTCCATGCTCGTATTTGTGCTTCATTTCAGGTATTTTTACAAACCAAAGGTAGAGAGAGATATATATGTATGTATGTATTGTTACATTTATTAAGGTGAAAAGAGAGTGATATTTTTGTGCTCGTAAAGAACTTACCAAACGGGAATTGCCTGGAAAAGCAGTTCACTTTCCCTTTCAGTTTTGATACTGTAACTTGTCTGTCGCTGTCACAACAAAAAAAACACCCGCTCTTGCGTTCACCTGGCATCTGCTCTCTTAAGGACCCTGGATTGCATTATGTTATCAGGGGTGTTATCTGAACAAATGTGCGCAGGAGTCCTGTTACCTACCTCCCGTGCTTAAAAATCCTTTCCACCCCCAAGCAGGATTTTGACCTGATTGACCGTAATGGTTCCAGAGGAACTATTGAGCCATTACTATCCATCAACTAAATGAATACAGAGGGACGCCTAAATCTCCAGGTTATTTGAAAGCTCTGTACATGCGTAAGGGAGTTTCTAAGGAGCAGACCCCTAATTGTCTGCAAAGTAGTTGCAGGAAGTAGTTGCGTTGGAAGCAAAAATTCGCAAGTGCTGAGTGAGCAAACTCCATTTGAAAGAATGAGTTTTTTTATTTTTATTATTTTTTTTTTTTTTTGAGGCTATGGGATGCGGAGAGGTGGGGGTTGCTATATATATATATTTTAATCCAAAACACCTCAAAGCAATATAGACCACATTCTAGTTAATTTTCTGGAAGTTGCTCAATTTTCACTCCGAAGACAGGCTGGGACACTTTCTTTCTGAATGAGCAGGAATCGAGAGGGGCTGGGGTTGGCATGGAGAGTTGAGCAGCGGCCGTCACCACCCCAGACGTGGCCAGGAAAAGGTGGCAGTAAAGCTTGCTGCGATGCTGGATTCAGCGCGGTCCACAGCCCGGAGGCCCGGGCAGACCCGGGGATCGCTCCCCTGACGGACTTTACACCTACTGGCGGGACGTGGGGCGGAGCGCGGGACGGAGAGCTGGAGGCTTGGTCTCTACTGTGGGGACCCTTCTTCTAGGCTGCCCGGAACCAGCCGAGACTGGGACCACTTGGGCGCTCGCGGTTCCGCCCCGAAGGCAGTGAGCGAGAGAGCCAGAAAGAGCCGCCGCGGAGTTGGCGCCGGCTCTCGTCGCCGGCTGGAGTCCTTAAGCTCAGAGCTAGCAGAGGCTGCAGCCGCGGCGACTGAGTGCGCTGGATTCCCAGTAATGAGATGGGAGTATTATCACCTTCACTGGGTTTCCAGGAGAGCAAAACTGTTGGGTCCTAACTACCGAGGACGTTTACCAAATTTGAAACGTGACGTCCTCGCGAGTCCTAAACAAATCTGACCTCGCTAAAAAAGTACCCTTGTTGCCCTCAGGTGTCCTGGGTCCTGTCTTTGTCAATCCATCCAAGCAGTAGTCCGCGCTGGGACCCAGGACCTGCTGGATGTGATCAATTTCTCTTAAATAGGCGGGGGAGGGGATACCTCAGCACTGAGCGGCAATAAGAGACCTTAGCTTTGTGGGCTTCCTTCTGACTGCTCCGCCCAGAGGGAACCCTGACTCTGGTTGGCCTCCTGCGGAGTTCGAGGCCAGGGTTTACGGGTCACCCCCTTGGGAGCTCAGAGTAGGATAGAGAACTTTTCAGCTCCTAGCAATTCTTGAATTTCGTTATCCTGGCTTTCTGAGATTGTGCATTGTCAGCGACCTACAAGGCTCCTCTCTGAAGCCAGGCTTCTGAAACAGGTGAGCCCTGGTGGAGGGCCCTCGTTGCCAGGGCTCAGATGTCCTCTGGCCTTGTCCTGTTCTGGCCCTGCTGACCACGTCCAGGCAAAGGTAGCCATGCTTTTTCTAGGAGGCACAGCCTGGGGAACCAACAGCAGCGTTGCTTCCGACACCCTGCTCTACATCCACTAAGTTCTAGAGACCCGAGTCAGGATCAGTTTTCAAGATAATCTGGCAAAGCAGAGGTGAAACCAACTTGGTTGCATATTTCTTCTTTAAGATCAGGAATACTTTCTCTCCAAGTAGTAGGGGGATCACTACTTGGAGCTTTCTTGGAGATAAAGTATTCCTGATATTAAGGGATCCTACTACTTGGAGCTTTCTGGAAGTCTTGAGGCACATTGGCCGAGGGCCCTGTTTTAGAAGAGAAAGACTCCTAGAAACATAAAAGAAGCACAGTTGAGCTGTAAGGGGTGCATAGCAGGAGACTGGTCATTTATACCCCAGAAGGTTCCATCCTACCTGAATGACCAGCCAATGTTCTTAAGTGATCTGGACAGCCAGAGGCCCTGTTGTGTGGACATTTTTTTACTCTTCTTAACTTTTACCACTGGTAATGGAATTTCTCGAAGCTTTGTTTATTTGGAGAGCCTGAGGCTGGTACAGGCGCATTCTCTGTGCCCAAGGTGGAAGTCAGAAAAGTTCAGCATTGCCCTGTGTAGACTTTCCCTCCAGGCCTTTCCTTGCTCTTCAAGCTTGCTGTTCTGGAAGCTCTAGAAAGGTGGTGTGATCTCAGTTCCCTTTTTCTCCAAGGGTTCTCAGTCTGGCAAGAATGTAATTGCATTCTAGCAACTGCTAAGATTCCAGGAGCATGGACAAACAAACTTACGTGAATCTCTTACTTCTGCACTAACTTGGGGCACTGGGTAAGAGCTGTTCCTTGGAGCAAAGATTGCACCCCATCTTACTCCTCCTCAAACAAGACAAACTTACCCAGAGATTGGAGGCTAGATTCTTTTCTAAAGGCCTGGGGATATAAGGAAACCCTCTTTCAACTATGCCTTTGGGGAAGGGGGTCTCCATTACCATCTCCCTAGGTCAGGTATTACAACCTTCTTCATCTCCCAAGAAAATCAGATCGGCTTTGCAAACCAAAGCTGGAGATACCAGAAGCTCCTCGGGATAGCAGTACCAACACTTAAGAGATCCACAGAAGCTAGGATCCAGTTCCAAGAGTCACTCAGCAGCAACTCTGGGGCAAAGGCAGGGAGTGAAGTTGTGTGATCTGGACCTGCTCAAGTCCCTGGAAACCAGTGTCTCCTCCAGTGCCAAACCCAAGACCTGGAAGGGCATTCCAGAAAGGCATCAGGGAGGCATTGGGCTGGGGTCAGCCAGAGGTCATCTTCTGGAAATGAGTAGTCAAGGGTGTGCTGGTACCTTCCATACGGCCTAGGCAATGAAGATAGAATTTTTAATATCCAGAACTCTGATTCCTTTCTGATTCAAAACTCCTGAACCAGCTCCTTGATTCAGAGGCCCTGGAACTGACAACTTTGCAGCCCGCCTGGCTTGCCAGTGCGGCAAACGTGAGTCGAGAGTGCAACCGTGCATTGGGATGAAATCTCAGAGAGTTCTGAGCCCCAGGAAAATAACTTTCCTGACCTCCTTTCTCTACTCTTTGATCTTTCTACTGGACTCCAGAATGTAGGGTCTGGGTTGAGCCATATGCACTCGGATGTTACAGCTTGCTTGCTTTGGTGACCCTGGTCTTCTCGCACTAGAAATTAACCAGCGCTGCCTGGGTTACCACCCTGGCCCCGAGCACGCTTGGATATCCAGGAGCTGCTCCACATTCGGGGTCTGCCGCTTCTGGAAAGAGATTCGAGGAGGAAAGGCGACTCTGTCAGGCGCCAAAGTGCGTTGAAACCCAAGCCGCAGTGTGGGGATCCCGGCGCACAAAGCTTCTGCCCCTCCCTCCCTCCTCCCAGAGAGCACGGGCTGTGTCCTAGGAGCCCAAGTATAGGACCTCGAAACGTGCGGTGCCAGCCCGCTCTCATCTGCTAGGAACCGTTTCATCTAGCACGCCAAACGTGCCCTTCTGGACCTAAAAAGGCAGAAGGGGTCGCGCAGGACTGAAGAGGAGGGGATGCAGGTCGGGAGAGACCGGGTCCAAGCGAGCGCAGCTGCCAAAGCGGGCTGCCCGGGTCAGCAAAACTTTGTCTTTCATTGCGCAGGCGCAGGGCAGGGTTGGGGGGCAGGGGAGGGAAGGGAGGAATCCTGAGGCAAGGGGCGGGGGTGGGGGGGGTGGAGGAGGGAGGGTGGTGGATTAAAATAAGTAGGCGGCTCGATGCTAAGGGATGAGTGAGTCGGAGCTCGGCCTCTCCCCGGCACGTTCCCAGCTGCTCCTGGTGCAGACCCAGCGAGGGAGCCGCGAGCGAGGCTCACCATCCCCGGCGGGCAGGACCCAGGGTTGCTGAGCGCTCACTCCCGCGTGTCCGGCGCTTGGAGTCCCTGCGGCAGGAGAGGAGTTGGGACTCTAGAGCTCCCGGTGCGCCTGTGGGCTCCATAGCCTCCGGCTTCCCCGGTCCCCTCCAGCTAAAGCCCCAGAGACGTGCTCAGCCCCGGGACCTCTGCGGAACAAGGTAACTGCAGTACTGGGCGCCAGGGCTCAGACAGCCGAATTCGAGCAGGACTCCCAGGTTTCTTATCACTGCGCGGCGGGTGCCTCCTCTCTCTCAGTACCCCCGAAGGAAGCTCTTTGCCAAACGAATGCTGCAGAACTTTTGTGAAAGTGAGAGCAGGGTGGTTGGGGGTGCTGGCTCAGGACTTCCCACGCGGGGTCCTCGGCCTCTGACCTCTGGGGATTGAGGGGGCGGGTCTCCACTACTGCCTCCAGCCCGCCTGGCTCCGCGGAATCCCAGGCGAGGTGCCCATGGACTTTGGAAGTCAATCTGTGGGCCCCCTTTAAGAAACCAGAGCAACTTCAGCGGGCACAAACTTTCCCGAGACGCGCTCCCAGCTCTGGCTGACGCCTTGGCTGACGAAGAAGGAAGAGAGAGGGAGTGAATGGCCGCAGCCGCAGTCTACCGCGCCAGAGACAGGTGCATGCCCCAGCCCGGTAGTGCTTTCGTTCAAGTTTGTCTTTTGAGGAGTTGCGCTCTGGTGTGAGGCCGACTAGACCCTAGAGCGCAGGGCCACGAGTCTGATCCCCGCCTCGCACTCGCGCTCTGACTTAGGGATATTCTCTGTAGGACGATTGCTCTGTGTCGTCAAGGCCTGGAGCGGAACCCTTGATTGTCCTGGTGCAGGGAGGCAATGCCAGTGGTGCGCAAGCATTGCTTTCCAATTCGAGACCCACATACAGCACTAGTGGAAACTATGGAGCCGCAGTGTCTCAGGGTTGGGGGTTGGAAAGGTTCTGTTACTCCCCTGACTGTCCCCCAAACCAGCCATCAGGAGAGAAAGAAGGGGGAAAGGGGTGAGGGGCTGCCTGCTGAACTAATTTCTCCTCCGAAATTTCTCTGATACTAATGGAAAACCTCGTCTAGTCCTTTTTCAGCAGCTCAGGCAGTAGCGGGTTGGGCTCTCCATGTGTAAAGTAGCTGCGAGGGTTTCTTTGTTGCCATAATTTGGTAAATTTCACCCAGGCTAAGAGCTGCGCATTGGCTCTGGAGAACAAAACCACGTGCAAGGCTAGGTGTCCCAGGTTCACAGCCCCCAAGGGAAGAGAAGGGCTGGAGGGGATTAGCAGCGACCGGCGGCGGGTAGATGTTCCATCGCAGGCTCCTCGAGGTAATTGCTGTTTTATTAAGATTGGGGAATGGATCGCCGAGGACATATAAGTTCAGTCGGACGGCCGCCTCGCCGATGGGTTTGTTAGATCTCGTTTGTTGAGAGAATGCTACAGAAATATCCGGTGCGCCGGTCAGTCCTCTTCCTGGAGGTCCGGACGCCTGTCACCACTCATTGGAGATTCCATGTCGAGGCTGATTTTCTTGGGTTGCTGCTGGGCTCCCCCAGGCGCAAGCTCGTGGAGTTCGCTCCCGTCCTCATTAATGCAAGCAGTTAACTTGCTCACGCTCAATTAGCCCCGAATAAACCACTTTAATAGACTGCACACTTCATTAATGCCTGGTATAGGACTGGCGGCAGACCCGGGATTGGCGCTCCACCGCGCGAGGGACTCGAGTGCCTGCACTGCGCAGGGACCCGGGGATCCTGAGCTTGAATTGCGTCTGCTGTGCGTGATCGGGCCCCCTTTCTCTTTCCTCCCAGGTTCCAAGGCCCGAGATGTTTGAGGAATGAGTGCCTGGCCTGGGAAAGGGTTTTCCATCTTGTGTTTAAAGATCGAAAGCATTCGCCCTGGGGTTCCGGGGTTTGGGAAACCAAAGCCGGAGGGGCCGGGAGTTCGCTCATCCTTTCTGGCTGGAGAGGCTAGGGTGAGACTGAGTTTTTCTCTTAGCTGACCTGCTGAAACCGGATCGTGCTTTCAGCCCAATCTTGATATTAGTGTAAAGAGCCACGTTTCGAACGAATTTCGTCCCGGGAAAGTAGTTGGCGGGAGCCTGGGGAGCTCTGGCTTCAGAATGCTTCAGAAAACAAGGAACGGGCTGGGCGGCGGAAGAAAATAAATGTAGTGTTGGGGAAAACAAGATCGGGCAGATAGCCCGGAAAGGTCGGCTCCCAGGAACCACTATAGCTGCAAGCATTCCCCCTTCCCAGCACCCACTACTGCGCCCAAGACTGCTCCGGTGTCGGCTCCTAGGAAGAAGGCGAGGAAAGAAAGGCCTATCGAGGTTGGTGGTTTCTCCCACCCAGGCACGGAGCGGGTTCGGGCCCCTGTGCAGCCTAGAGTCGCACAGCCACGGCGGCTGGCTTGGCCTTGGATAGGCCAAGCACGGAGAGGTGGAGGAGGAAGCCTCAGCAGCGCCCAGCGGGCTCCTGGGACCTGGAGATAAGGATCTGATTTCCAGCGCCTGGAAGGGAAGAAGAGGTGACAGCAATTCAAAGAGTGCTCATCTCGCCTGAGTCCAGGCTGACCTTCGAAATCAGCGAGTCTTCTCCTTCTTTCCCTTCCCCAACCCAAAAGGGTCCCAACTTCCTCTCTGGCCCAATTTAAATTTTACTTCTTTTTGTGTGCAGGCTCTGGGATAGTCTCAGTTTGTCCCGGGCACGACCTGGGCTTGGCGCAATAGAGATGACCGCTGCTGAAGCCACGAGCTGCCGGCGGGGCCAGCGTTCTGCTTCAGAGGCCAGGTCGCTCAGCCTTCTCTCACCCTGAGGCTGAGTTTATTGCAGCAGTTTTTATCCGAGTGCTAATTTAAACTGTGCAGGCCAATCGCTGCCAGCTCATGGTGTTTTTACACCCTATTCCCAGGAAGCCCTCTTTCCTTAGGTCCCATCACACAGCCAGTGGCCCCTTTGCCAGCTTCCAGGAGAAAAGGTTTCCTGGGTCAACATTTCCTCATTCCTCCTGGGAAAAGGCACTGCACATCTTTGGACAGAGCCAGGCTTTGAAAGCCTCACTGCAGCGAAAGGCAGAGGAGTCTATGCCTGGGCCTTGCCCTGGGCTGAGGGTCAGCTCAACCTGGGGAGAGGAGACACTCTGAACTAGGGAGCAGAGCAGAGGCCAGTGCATCCCAGGGAAGGGGAATTACTCCATGTTAGAGCAAAGGACCTAGAAAGAGGAGAGTAATGAAAGGTAAAGGAAGAAGTCAACAGCAGAGGATTGAGGCTTGGCAAGAGAAGGGAGTCCCAAGGACCCTGCTGTGACAATGACTTCTTAAGGACCCCCAAGCTAAGAGCCAGGAGCTCAGTGCTTGGGCTTCTCAAGGATCCCTGATAATATAGACTTTGCTCACCCTGTTCTTTCCTCCATTGGACGCATCTGAGTTATGCGTGTCTGGGAGGGTAGAGATGAAAGGCCTTTTTGCAGAGCACAGATGGTTCCATGGAGGCTGGAGATCATGGTCAAGGAGGTCTGGAGATGCCAGCCCCTGGTCACTTCAGAGTGGCTTTCCTCCGGCCCCGCTCAAGCTCCCTGACCTTGCAGTTGTAGGTACATAGACCACAAGAATGGAGGCCTGGCTCTTGCTCTTTCCCATAGGCATAGCCACCTGCCCACAGCTCACCACACACAAGAACACGCTGACAACCCAGAGACCCAGCTCTCCTTTTCTTTAGGAGAGTCGGGACACTAAAGCCCCCTTGTTTGTGACTGCACAAACAATGGGTATCAGCACCCTTCTTGAAAGCAAAGTGGTCCCCAAGGGCTAAGGCAGGGCAGGGAGTCAGTCCGCAAGCAGCTGTAGAGAGTGGGGCCAACAGGTTTCACTTACATTAAGGTAGGGAAGCAGATTTAAAGTCAAAGCTGAGAGATTTGAGGAGAAAGATGACAGGGCTTCTGGAAGCCAAATCGAAGGTCAGCCAGAAGATCTTAGCAAATGGGAGCCAGGAGGTGCATGTATTTGTGTGCATATGTATGTGTGTTGTTTGTGAGGCTCTTGATGGGTGCAATGTGATCGTGTGTATGTGTTTTGTGTGTGTGTGTGTGTGTGTGTGTGTGTGTGTGTGTGTTTTAAAGCCAGTTTTGTGCTATAAAACACTGGTTGTACCAGTCTTTGCATCTTGTCAATTTTGCCTCAAAATGTGTGAATCTACGTGTGCATTTCTGTGTTTATCTGCAAATAAATGTATAAATGTGTTCCCCAGCTCCTGTTACCTTTGCAGGAGATTGTGATTCTGTGTTGACCCAGGCTTACCTGGCTGTCAGTTTGTACAGGACTGACCAATTTCCCTGTGCTTGTGCCTTTCTCAGTGTCTTGTATACAGTATACAGTAGGCCCTTTTCTCCATCAAGTTGCGTGACTGCCAGAGGCCATTTGGAGAAAGCCCTCAGACCAGCAAGCGTTCTGAAAAGAGGGCTCCCCTGCATCTTACATTCCCACCCTCTTTGTGAGGGTGGGATCTTAGACTCTCAGTGGGTTTTGAGAGTGGGTCTTAGATTCTCGGCTCTTGCACTGAGTGTGAGGAGATGGTGTGGCTGGGCTGGAATTCAGGAGGAAGGCGACCCACCCTGAACTTGTTTATTCCTCCCCATGCCCTTGTCTTCTTTTCTTTGCAGATCCGGATTGAGAAGCCACTACAACTACCAAAATGGGCAGCAAAACCTTGCCGGCGCCAGTGCCTATCCACCCTTCCCTGCAGCTCACCAACTACTCCTTCCTTCAGGCAGTGAACGGCCTCCCCACAGTACCCTCGGACCACCTGCCCAACCTGTACGGTTTCAGTGCGTTGCATGCTGTGCACCTGCATCAGTGGACGCTGGGCTACCCGGCCATGCACTTGCCACGCTCTTCTTTCTCCAAAGTGCCAGGCACCGTGTCCAGTTTGGTGGATAGCGCGCTTCCAGCTGCCCGCCTTTCCCTGGTTCCCTCATGTTATTCAACCCAAGCCCGAGATCACCGCTGGAAGCAGCGTTCCAGCGCTCAAGACCAAGCCGCGCTTTGATTTCGCCAACCTGGCCTTGGCCGCAACGCAAGAAGATCCGGCCAAGCTTGGCCGCGGGGAGGGCCCAGGCTCCCCTGCCGGTGGGCTAGGCGCCCTCCTCGATGTGACCAAGCTGTCTCCAGAAAAGAAACCCACAAGGGGACGTCTGCCTTCCAAGACCAAGAAGGAGTTCGTCTGCAAGTTCTGTGGCCGCCACTTCACCAAGTCCTACAACCTACTTATCCATGAGCGGACGCACACCGACGAGCGGCCCTACACCTGTGACATCTGCCACAAAGCCTTCCGGAGGCAAGACCACCTGCGGGACCACAGGTGCGGCAATGCGGGTGGCCCAAAAGAGGGCTCTCTGCCTCTGGCCTCACCATCTTCCTCCCTAATGAGATTCTTGAGACCCCCTACTGGCTCCAAGCCTCTGGAGGTTCAGGAAATTTTTTAAAATCAAGAAGGAAAGCCTAGGAGACCCAGGGATAGGTTTTGGAGTATGGGTTCAGGAAATGTGGGAATAAATAGGACCCAAGATTAAGTGAGGTCTCCGTGAGCTCCAGACAAGTACATAGCTGCCTCCTCCCCACTTCCTCCGTCCTCAGGGCCGTCCAATGGAAGGTTTTGCCGTGAAGGAAATGTGATATGTGACACATGTGACAGTTAAGTATTTGAAATGTAATAGTGCACCTGAGAAACTAGTTTTATTTAATTTTAAGTAATTTGATAAGTATTTAATAAGCACACATGCTAGTGTGTGCTTATCACCATCTTGGACAGTGCAGGTTAAGCAAATTGTCTGACTCCAGCTCCCTTAACTCATCTTCAGTGTTGACTCAGGCCTTATAAGGAGGCCAAACTTGCCCCTCCTGCCCACCAGGAAGGCAGGTAACTGAATCCGTGTAAGGATCAGACTTTGCTAAAGCATCTCCTTTTCCTTCCCACTCCATCCCCAATCAACATTTTGTCCCATCCAAACTTGGTACCCGACAATGTCCTTTTCCTTTGAGGGCAAGTGCCCCATAGCAGTGGGAGGGGATCTTGGGCAATTGTTTATAATATTGCATCATTTTGCGAGGATGAACTCTGTTTCTGCCCTCAGATATATTCACTCCAAAGAGAAGCCCTTCAAGTGTCAAGAGTGTGGGAAAGGATTCTGCCAGTCCAGGACTCTCGCTGTCCACAAGACGCTACACTCACAGGTGAAGGAGCTCAAAACCTCCAAGATCAAATGCTAAATAGCCTCTGGGTCACAAGGACCCTGGGCCCAGCAGCCCTCTCCTCCAGAGGGACCAGAAGCCTAACTCTGGCGGGCAGGGGAGAGGCGCTCGTTCAGGACCTTCCACCTCTCCAACATTGTCCCCTGGGTCCCTGGCGCACGCGGCACTTCAGAGCCCCGCCCGGGGCCTAGACCCAGACCGACCCAGCTGCTCCCCTAGGACGCGGCTAAACTCTTGGCCAAAAGGCGGTACTCACGTGGCGGAAGGGAAACTGCATTAAAAGAAGAACGAAAGCTCCGTGGAGCTGCAGCGGCGCCTCTCCCAGAAGTATTACTTTTTCTATTGTTATTTTATACGTTTTCATTTTTATTTTTGTCTTTGACCATATAAGCTTGTAACTCTGACTGCGGAGAGTGATGGGAGAAGGGAGAAGCAACGAAGTCCTTCGCACTGGCACCTCCCACCTCCTCCTCCCGCCCCTGCCCCCACCCCGGAGGCTGCAAAAGTGTAATCCCGGTATCTACTTCAGCCGTCTGCCCCGGGAACCACGGGGCCAGGAGCGCCCCTCCTAGCTCTTGCGGCTCGACCGGGCTCCGGGACTCAGACTGTGGGGCGAGGACCTCCGGCCTGGGGGCTGCAGGAAACCCGGCCTCTGCCGCCTAGACACCACGAGGGAGCAGCCAGCCAGGAGCCAGGCGTTATATTGCGATTGGCACTTTATGCTGACCATCGGTAACGGACATTTATCACTGGAGTTTTTTTTTTTTTTTTAATAAAAAACTATTAAATAAACGGTTATTTTACAGGCATTGCAGGATGGGTAATTTCCCTCCTAAACGCGGGAAACCGGGTGTGTCCTCTCTTTGAGAGGACCAAGTTTCTCTGCAGGACGCCAGCATGTCCCGCTCCTTCCACCCTGTATTATTAGGACGACAGGGCTGAAATGGATGGAGAAACGCCCTCTCTCCCGGGTAGGTCTGCCTCTGCCCCACCACGTATTTTCTTACTTTTCTCCTCCACCTCCGGGGTAGGGCCTCAGCCTTACCACTCCTCACCTCTAAAGGGCTGTGAGTTTAGGAAGAACCTAAGCCTGAAAGCAGAACACCGGCCGTGAGAAATCCCGACGTCTCTGAGTGCTGAGGTCTCTTAGGGTGCAAGAAGAGAAGAGAATGTCGTTCCCCACCCTAACCGAAGGCCTCCCTCCTGGCCTCTCGCTTTGGGGTGGGAAAGAACCACCCTCACAGAGCCTCAGAGCTGTATTGTTTCCGTTCCCCGGGTCCCAACATTGGGCTGCAAATACGCAATCACTACTGCCTCCCCGGAACCCCAAACCAAAATCACTCCCTCCCTTAGGATCCCTCAGACACAATTCTCTGCTTGGGACTTGTCCGCTCCTAGGATCGCGGCTCTACACCCCCGAAGATTTCCTACAAATGTAAAGCCTTGTCAGGAATGGCGGGGGCGGGCGGGACGGTTAGGAGGAGAAATTCGAGTCCTCCCTCCATAAGCTGAACCTTCCCTGGGTGTCCAGTTTTCCCACATTTATAAGTCGGGCCGCCGGGGCTCTCCTGCTTGGGGCGAGGCGGGGCTCCCCCAGCTCCAGCGCCCTGACCGCGAGACTGCGCAGGCGGTGGCGCCCGCGGCCTTTCCCAAGCGCAGGGTGGCCTCTCCAGCTTCAGCGCCTGGAGTGCGGCGGCAGCGGACGACGACTGGACTAAGCTTCCCCGCGGCAGGGACCAAAAATCCCAGCCTCCAACCGGGCCCTGCTGGCTGAGAAAGCGGCAGGGGATGCAGGAGTTAAAAAGCTCCTGCCTCCACCGCCCCATTACCTCCCCCGGGAACTTCCTACGGGAACGCTCCCCAGTCTTGGGCAGGCTAGAACGTCGTCGAGGCCCGGGAACCCAATTGGGCACTGGAGCCTGGCACAGCAGGCGAGGACGAGCCCTACCCTCCGCGCTTAGAGCGGCGCTGCCCCCTGCTGGCCAGGCCTGAAGGGGAGGCCAGGACTTGGGGCACCTCAAGGAGTCTTGCCCGCAACCTCGCGAAACCGCCAGGCATCTGTGTGTTTGGTCCCGAAACCTTGACTGGCCCCAGAGGCCACTGCGGGTGAGAAGCAGGGCGCTGCTGGGTCTGGCATGGTCTGAGGGATCTTCATTAGTTGGGCACTATCCCAATCCTTCTTCCACGAGAGTCCACAAGGTCGCGCGTGGCCCAGGATGATGCTCCTATTCCTGAGAACTGGGGTCTCTGAGTGCATGGAAGTGGGGTTAGCCAGTAGGTTTAGGTTTGGGGTGGTGTCGACGGTCTGGGCCCAAGCAGCGCACGCAGGTTGTGGTGTGGTTTGTGCCTGACCACAGCTTGTACTAGAGCCAATTGCAGAGGCCTCGTTGGTTCCTTTATGAAGCCCCACGAGGCTAGGGGCTGTGGTTGCTCCAAACAACCGAAGTTCATGGGTGTACACACACACACAGGGCGCCCTTTCTAGATCCTTGGCTCTTTCTGGGATTCTATCTTTGAGATTGTCTATGGCTGCTCTTCCCTAGCTCCTGACATCTCTCCGCCCCCCAGAATGCATCCTTCCACCATCAGAACACCATGCTTCTGCAGTTCCCGGGCCTCAGGACGTTATAAATGCTGTGAAAGGGGGAGGTTTGCCAGCCATGTCAATCTTTTTTGGATCACCCCTCCTCCAACACTGTGAAACCCCTCCCAGTCCAAGGTCTGCAACTGAATGTCAGTATTAAGTGTGCATCCTCAAAATAACAGATTTCCAGTGCAGAGTTTTAAATTGGGGGTGGGAAATGGATGGTGGGATAGGGTGCTGCGTGACAACTCCCTGGTCCTCTCAGAATGCCTCTATTTGCTCTACTGATGTTTGCTGTTACCCTGGTGGACTCAGATCACTTCTCACTACAGCTTGCTCTAGTGATTCGTAGACTGTGCAGAAACAGTAACAGCAGGTGGAAAGGCCGTCTGGGCCTCTGGGCCATGAGGCTACAATTCCCAGGCGATGTGATTGGTTGATGTGGGCGGAAACTAGTGTCCCAGTTTCCTGCTCGTACTCACTGTGGGTTGCACAAAAATGTGCAACTGAGAAGGCCAGAAATGCTGGGTGGCTTTTCTTGCCTGCACCAGTTTTTTCCCAATACATCTCTAAAAAGTCCCAGCTCCTGTCTCCTCTCCGGACTCCCCACCACAATTAGCTTCTTTGGCCCCAGTGACTGTTCCTGGTGCTCAGCGTTGCTGGGGCCATTTTTCAGGAGTGAAAGAGGCCCATGGTGCTGGCCAGGTGGAGTTCAGCTGGGGCCCTTCTCCAAGCTGCTAGGCCTGTGGTTTTTATGTACGGGTGGAAAAGCTATCTGGCCTAAGACAGTCTATTGGGCAGGGTGGGTGGAAGGTGCCAGAGACCCTGGGCACTGCGCGGAGCTGCCAGATGCTGTCTCCGGGAAGGTATCAGGTGTGCCCTGGGAAAAGAACAGCTTGCAGGGGCTTTTTCCTAGGAGAGAGTGTTTCAGGTTTTACCTCCTTTTTTCAGAGTGTAGTGAGGGATTAGGGACCCACTAAAAGCAGGTTTTCCCGGGTACTTCCTTGCAGTGGCATTTGTTGCTCACATTAGGGGGAGGGACGCAATGGGATGCTCTGGGGCTCCCTGACATCATCTCAGCTCCAAGAACCTGAGGATGTGATATCCTAAAGCCCCTAGAATCCTGATGTCCCTGGAGCCGGTCCAAAGGCGTCCCGCGTCCCACCACTCCGAGCGCTAAGCCTCTGTGACGTCACGGTCCCCTCCCGCAGACACCCTGACGTCACAGAGGCCTCGGGCCTGAATGAGGTCCAAGGAGGCATCCATTACGTAACTTCATGACGTCACAGATGGGCCTCACCTCAGGCTAATACATCCACACTTCCTGGTCCCGCCCGGCCCTGCGAATCTGCCCACTGAAGCGCCCCGAATCGGTTCGTCCCCACCGACAGGATCCGCAGACCCGAAGCTTTGGTAGCTGTCGGGAGTGAAGGGCGGTGCCTTGCAGCGTCCTCTTCCTGAATCCGAAGTTTAGGGTGCTCTCCCTGCCCACCGCGTCTCAGGGCAGCAGCAGCCTCGGAGTACTCGCCCCACCCACTTCTCCGCCCACTGTGGCCCCGCCCTCCCCGCCCACTGCGCACGCGCCACGCGCAGGCGCAAAGCAGCTCGCCGGCCTGTGCTGCTGGTGCCGGAGTCCGGAGCCAGCGACGGTTTGTGGAAATCGTGGCGGAGTTCTGTATTATGCTTTCCGGGATCACAAGTTCGGGGGCATACTGGCCCTGCGGGCGCATGCAGCCGTTGGCGTATACGAGTGCGCAGGAAATGCAGACGAGGAAGAGGGTGGCGCTGGGTTAATGCGGGCTGGAGCCCTTGGAGTGCCCAGTCCAGCGCCGCCTTCCGTACGGAGGCCCCTGGGGTCTGAGCCGGCGGGGGTAGGGGGCGGCGGTCCCTATCCCAGGCCCGAAAGTCCGCCGCGGCCCCAGCCCGTTGGGTCAGGCTCTCTGAGGTTGAGATGTCGGCCTTCAGCCCGGGGGAACGCCTTGGTCTCCCACCCGACCTGTTCATCCCGACTTTCCGGGCCGTCTGTGGAGCCCAGCCGGTGGTTGGGTCCAGTTGCCGTATGTTTCAGATGCAAAGGTCACTAAGGACATGAGATGCTGGGGTCAGATTTCATGTCAGTGAGTGGCAGAGGAAGAATTCCAAGCTGTGCTTTCATTGAGGGGAGGGGTCAGAAGACCCAGCTCTGGCTTTTTCTGACAAGCACAAGTTTTGGGGAAGTCCCTGTGCTTCTCTGAGCCTCAGTTTTCTTCCTGTAATGGGGGTAGGGCTCTTCCTACCTACCTTATTCACTTCATGTAGAGGTAAAAGTCGTACACGTTTTGCCAATGACGTATTCACTGCTTGAGCCAAAAACTGTGTCTTAATGTGTTGTAGAACAACTTTGGCATGTATGAAGGCCTTGTAAATGATGATGATGATGATGATGATGATGATGATGATGATGGTTAGAAGTGCTTCTCAGCATTTTGAAGTAGCCGCCTCCCAACCTGCTGTATTCCCAGGAGTGACACCCCCCCCCCCATCTTTTTTATAACAGAGGGATCCTGAAATAGACCGAGAGAGGAAGATCACTGACCTGGTGGCCTTCTTAAAACCTCTGGCAAAAAGCCTTTTTCAATGACATGGGGACAGATGGATTAATCCATTTACAAATTATTGTGTTTGGTTGGGAAGATGTGTCATGGCCCTGTGTCAGAGCCCTACTCACCATGTATTTGTGGAACCCAGGGAGTTAACAGCCTGTGGAGACTGAGGTGTGGAGCTGGGGAAGGAGCCTATGTATGTGGTAAGTGTGACTGCATAGATAGGCAAGTGCTTAAACACACACCTGCAGAGTGAAAGACCTCTTGTGGATTTGTGCTTTCTTAAGATTGATTGTTTGAAACAAACACTCCCTCAGTTGCCTAGGCTGGAGTACAGTGGTATGATCAGGGCTCATTGCATCTTCAACCTCCTGGGCTCAAGCAATCCTCCTACCTCAGCCTCCTGAGTAGCAAGGCTACAGGTGTGTGCCACCACATCCAGCTAATTTTTTCTATTATTATTATTGTGTGTGTGTGTGTGTGTGTGTGTGTGTGTGTGTGTGTGTATGTAGAGATAAGCTCTTTCTATATTACTTAGACTGGCCTTGAGCTCCTGGGCTCAAATGATCCTCCCACCTTGGCCTCCCAAAATGCTGGGATTACAGGCATGAGGCACCATGCCTTACCCTTTTGTTTTCTTTGA